AAGAATCACGTTTATCACGACATGTGAATAAAGTAATGAAGGGGTTAAATGGGGCATTTTCAGAAAGTGGGAGAATAATGTTAACTACAAATATTTTGAATTCTACGGTCACTTGTGTTATATGGCCGCAATATTCTCTACTTAAGCAAAATAGCTTTCGGTTAAAAAAACATGTTAATTTTTTATTGAATTTTAGACCATAATATAGTATTGAGCAATAAATTAAAGGGAAAAAATACTATCGAAGTAGATATCATTATGTAATTTGTAATCTTTGCCATTTCACGTGAAAGAAATTTGTAATTTGTTGCAAAAATATTTCATGAAAGTGTAAGAAAATACTTTAAAACAGTGCGAAAATCCTTTTAAGAGTAAATAAATAAGTTGGAGGTGCTTTCTTATCCCCTTTTTTTTGATTAAAAATATCACTCTGTTTCGATTATTACATTTGAACACGCATCAAAGCATTAGATAACTTTTTAGAAAATTATTCCACATTGTCAAAAATTACTTATTAAATAATCGTCAATTTAATTTTCTCTCTCCTTTTTTTATATGTTTGGCAACCATTAAATACATTTTACATTGACTCAATTAACAACGTGAATGTCCGGAATTCACTCTTTTAAATTATAATAAAAAAATATTTAGGGTAGATTTAGGAAACTTTTACTAAAATTTTTATTTAATTATTATATTTAGAATTCCAGTTAGTAAACTGAATTATAAATCTATTCTAAAAACAATAGTGTGTATTACATTTAAACTGAATTGCTCTCAGAGCTCCAAGTTTAAATACAATGTATGTTCCCACCTTTTCAAAATTTGTCTAAAACTATCTCTAAAATGAATTGAAATGTTATAGTCTTTTGTAAGATCTAAAACGCCTACAAATTTCACTAAAAAACTTGATTATTTATGATTACTTGACTTATTAAACTTGATACTTAGAATCACAATGTAATACATATTATACGTTCTTGAACTACAGAGATATTTTGAATTTATTTATCAGTTTGAAAATTTTGAATTTTCAAGCTGTTTTGCATTATAGTTATTTTCTTTGATTCTCTTTAAAAAATCTTTTATTTTCCTTTTTTTTTTCTAAATATTTCACTTTCTTTTTTTTCAATTCCCATAAAATAAAGACCCTTAAGTATCTGATATGTTTATAAATATAATAATATGCAAGTTAAAATTATAATATATCAGTTTTTAAATATATAATTCGAATAGAAAGACTAATACGGGAATTAAAACCTCAATATCTAATATACCGCCTACTGTTTAATCCTAGGAAAAGCTTTTTTTAAAGTTTTAGGTCATTATTAATTTTAGTTGGGTCATTTTCTTCAGATCTACCTGATAATTACTATATTGGAGAGACACGAAAATAGGATCCTTCTCAGCTTATTGCTTGCAAGTACTAAAACAAAATTAAATTATTATAAATTAAAATTATCGTAACACATTAATTTAAAAAAAAAATTCATTTATTATTTTTTCTCTAAATGCCAGGTACGATCTTAGATAAGAAAAGGAAAACTTGTTTGTCAGTATGAATTAAAACGATCTTTCCTTTATTGCAAATCGAATAAAGTCAGAAAAAAAATCGTTATAGTTTAGTCATCATTTGTGCATAGGAATTATAAGCATAAAAAAATAGTAACTATGCATGATTTTTGGAAGCATTTAAATCTGAGACATGCATAACATTTTTAATAAAAGAAAAACGAAGACGTTATTGAGCTTACAGAAGTTATTCAAGCAATAATTATGCTTGTTAACTGCAAAAATACGAAATTTTTATAATTGCCATGTTGACGAATAAAAAGAATAGCAAAGTCTTCAGACAAAATGCACATTAATTAATGATTTATATGAATTTATAATATTCAAAATAATTCTTGTACAGCACAAAAAATTTATGCCTAAGAGTGAAATCTAGAGGAAAATTGTGACTGAATAAAATTTCTTTCCATATTTCTAAGCAAAGTAAAAATATTAAAATTAATTTAACTATAACAAATAAGTTGGAATATTATAGAATCGGTTGAAACATTTTCATATGAAACATTATAGAATTAGTAAATTGATGAAAAAAATCCCTTTAGCTTACCTTTGAAAAAAGAATACTTTGCNACTATAACAACATTATAAGTTAAATACATTGAGAAATCTATTTTTATATTGATTCTACATATACATATTTTTTTAAAATTTAGAATGCCATTAATGGAATTCTTTTTATATCTGTTTAGCAATTGTAGAAGAGTATTTGAGAAATATAAGTTGGAATATTATAGAATCGGTTGAAACATTTTCATATGAAACATTATAGAATTAGTAAATTGATGAAAAAAATCCCTTTAGCTTACCTTTGAAAAAAGAATACTTTGCGTTATAGTTAAGACGAGTAATTAATTTGACACCTAACATTTTTAATCTACTTCTTTAGTTAACTAATTTAAAAATTCTACTACTTTAGTTAAAAGTACAGATATATTGTAAAATTTAAAGTAGTGCTTGAATTTAAAATTGAAGAATTATCTTAAGATTATATTTTAAAAGTAAAACGTAGTTTGAATATTAAATTTCCTCATATTTAAAGTTAAACTAAAAGGCTTCATTTAAATCTAATTTTAAAATTTGTGATTTTCAAAAGAAAAAGAATGTATAAATTGAGATATGAGTTTAAAAATGAAGTCCTTTTTTGAAATTGAGTTTATGACTTAAATTTAGAAATAAATACAGGTTTTTAAAATTTAAATCTTGTGTTTTAAGATAATTATTGTATTGTATTTTTTCAAACAATCTTAATATTTTATTAAATTTATATTTCAAAATATATTTTTGCTTACTTTTTAAAAGTTAAGAATATCACACTAGAAAATAAAATCAAATACCTTAAAGTAATATCGATCAGTTGGTTGCGTACTAATTAAAATATGAATGCATTTTTTTTATAGAATTTATGAAATTTTAAACGAAAAAATTAATTGTGATCTGAAAATCTACATTTTGTTCTTTTGACTATGAACCTTTTGTTCTCTACAATACAAGAAGCAAGCGACTTTTGAATTTTGGAATACTAAATGCCGAATGAAAAATTTAAATTTTTTTATATTAAGGAAGGATTATATTTTTTTACTAACGTTAAAAATAAAACCGTTAGTTAAAATCATTAGTTTTACTTTTTATTCAGAACAAAATTTTAACACCAAAATACGAACAAAGTAATGCTGAAATAACTATGAAACTTTTCTGACGAGTCAGCATAAGATTTACAGAATTTATAAGATTTCCTCGCCTTAGAAAAATAAAGAGGTCTTTAAAGAATCATTTTTGATCGCCAGCAGCGCGTTTGGAAACTAATCGATCGCAAAACTGATTTTTCGCCAAATCGCTAAATGCTCTTAAATTTCCGAAATCAGCAATACTGTCTTCTCTCTGAGCATTAAATTTTAAGAATCCCGGTAAAAATGGAAATCAGTGAAAATGAACTTAGTGGAAGTATTATCTGCTGTTACAATTCCTTTTCCAGAAATGTTTCTCTGTGGAATTTGAATTTCATTCAATGTTTAAATCTTCATTAAATGTTTTGTTAGTTCATCAGCTTTTTCGGAATAGAAATTTTATTACTTTCTGAGCATTTTGAAACAATTTATTATATTATATGAATTCTGCCTAATTTTTTGTAAATGCTTTGTACTCTTTAAAGATAAAAATTAACTTTATTTTAGTTTAACAAAATATTTAAAATATTTTCATTTTAACATCAAATTTATCTTTCTCTAAAATAAAATGGGTTAAAAATTGTACTTTTAGATTATTAAAAGCAGATGGTAGATAGTTTTTGTCATTTTTACAATTATATAATATACCAATTACATATTCTTGTGGCCACAGTAACTGAGAAAATTTAAGCAAAATCTTTAATAAGAATTTGGTTTCCTTCTTGGATTATTTCATTGGTTCCCCGTGAATTTTTTTTAAAGTTTATATGTTCATTTGAATAATCGAATGCATTTTATTTATATTTTTATCGAGACACTTTTTTAATTAGTTAATTCTTTGAGCAGTTTTCTAATCAGAATAGTTTATATTTTGTATTTTATATATTATTGAAAAAAGAAGCATGCTTAATATAGTAAATACAAATTCGCATTTATAAAAGTCACCACCTTTTTTCAAAGATTTTATCATGATCTTTAAAAAGGTGATAGGTTTTGTTGGATAAATGTTTTCTGAAAAATTATAGGAAATTAGAGTGTTTTGCATTATTTGGATATTTATATATCATTGATTTGCTATAGCTTTTGCAAATATTAATTAATTACGATATAAACTAAATAATTATTTGACATTCAAGTGGTTTGATTTCACCACAACGCCTCTTTTTAACAGGGTGCGTAGCGTTTTTAAAAAGTGCTTAAATGTGCTTATTTTCGATTTTCATTTTTTAAAAGCCCTTAAAGGTGCTTTTTTCATTGGGTGTTTTTAAAAAGTGCTTAATGTTCCCATTTTCAAAATTAGATTTTTCCTTTACCATGTTGATTTTCGTTTCGAATTATGCAAAAACCACAGTTCACATTGTTCTATTCAACATTTTCACAATTAATTCAACCTCAATCTATTTCGGCGTATTGCCAGCCCGTAGCGTATGAAAACGCCATTCGTTTTACATGACTCAAAATTTCATGATTTTTGACAATTGTCAAAAACAATGCCAATTTTTTTTTTTGACATGACAGTTAAAAACAAGATAAAACCGTCAATTGTCAAAAACTTTCCAACCCTGCCTAATTATGATTTTTTTTTAAATGCTTGAAAAGTGCTTAAAAGGTGCTTATTTTTTGTTGAATAATTTGGCTACCCACCCTGTTTAATCATTGGATGGAGATGTGTTTTTGTGTCCCTCTTACAAAAATCGTGGTACTTTAAGGTATATCTAATGTATGAATTTCAAACCTTTTTAAAGTTAAATTTTAATTTTTTAGGGCAATGAAGAAAATAGATTGCTCCAATCCGCAAATTATATCAGAAACTGTTGATGGAGCAAGTCCAGAAGAAATCGAACGACGCAGAAGAGCTGGACGTTCTAAAAAGAACAAGAAGAAGCATCCCAAGAAACGAGGACATCATAAAAGTGGAACTTTAGCTGTCGTCAGCGGTGGCTCACCAACATTTCATACATAATAATAACACACATTGAAGCTTCTCAATTGTACTCGATACAATACATTCTGTTATTGTACAATAGAGATACTGCTATTAAACATGACATATTAGTATAACTTGAAAACTTCATTCACTTCAAAAATATACAAATTGGAAATAACAGTCGGCATGTTATAAGCGCTCAAAAACAGACGCCCATTTTCAAGAGTTGCCAGACGTGAATGCGAAAAAGTAAAAATGATTTGAAATATGAATATATTTATTGTTTATATTTCAAATCACTTTTGTTTTTGCCTGTTGTTTTGCAATGGCGGGCCTGTTTTTAAGATCTTGAAACGTGTCGATTGTTATGTCCGATATCGTATCTTTTTGCAGCAAATAGAAGTTTTTAATAAGTAATATCTTACCGTTTCAGTTTCTTGGGATTATTTATTTAATAACTTAATTACATATTAATCTGAAACTCTATATTAAAATAGTTTAAAAAATATTCTAAAATGTTAGATATTTTTTAATGTAACTCATAAAGTTTTGATATGAGCTGATTACATTTATTAAAGGAACTGCCTAAAACTTATTTAAATTAAGCTTGCTTTGATTAAACTTTAATAACATAACAAAAATATAAAATAATAATTTTTTTTCTTCACAATAATTATTTATTTTGATTTTCTAAGAGACAAAGATAAAATGTATTAATGAAAAAACGTGACGAATTTTTTTAACTGAGAATTTTCAAATATTTCAAGACTTATAAAAATTTTGGCATCAGTTTTTTATAAATACTTTACCAAGAATTTTTGCTTATTCTCAACTATTTGTTTTTTTTAATTATTAATACACGGTAAAAACTAAATTTAAAAAGCTGAAAAGCAAAATTTAAAAAGTTTTAACTAAATACGTTCATGAGGGTTTACTGAGTGTTCCGTATTATCCTACCTTAATAGATACTTAATATAAAATATATACATTAAAGGATCGGAAATTAATGTTTAAGTGAAAGGAAATAAAATTGTTATAAATATCTGAAATAAAGAATATAACAAAACCTGTTGGTTTGTAAGAGAAAACCTAGAGAAATTAAATTGCAATTATTAGTAAGGTTTGGTATTTTAGCAAGCAATTAAACAAGTTCTGTCTTTAGTCCTAATTTCCTGAATTGATTTGTAAGATTTCGATAATGTGTTTTTTAAATTTTTCTCCTGCATTAAATATTAGTTTTTGAGCTCAGTGTGTTTAATCTTTAGACTTGTTTTTAATTTGAAAAGGACCATATAAATGTTTTCTTTTTTAAATTTATTATAATATTTTTTGAAAAACATTTAAAGTGATAGTATGAAGTAAATATTTTTCTTTTTTGTGTGTCAGAGTAAAACCAAAATAAATATTTCATTCATTTATATTTCTAAATACAGGATTCATCAACAAAAATGTTTTTATAGCTTATTCAAATTATTCTACTAAAGTATGCATTGTACCTTGAACAGAAGAGAAGCTTTTTAATGGTTAAAAGGAAAAAAAATATAAAGTATTTGCTACTTATTTTTATCACTTCATATGGTGGATGCTTTTCACGCTGCTAATGAATTGAATATTGCCCAATAGCTCTTAAATGAGCATTAAAACTGTGGCGAATTTTGCAGTTGCAGTGATGTGTGTATAATTGAAAAAAAAATCATTTTTAAGAAAACGAGAAAAAAATAGGTAAAAAACTGTAAATTAGGTGTAGTAGTTGTCAAACCTTTTTATACTGTACCTTCTAATCATACGTAGTTTCTGAAAAAAAAAAGTGAGCTTTTATATACATATTAAGTAAGTGGTTGTAATGCTTGTTGTTATGCATTTATTTCAGAGTTTTTGGCATTAAATTGCTAATTTAGTTCATTTCCCTTTGAAAATATGTTTTGTTTGGCTTTGAAACTTTTTATTCTTATTATTGTGATTATTGTATGTATCTATCGTGAATGTAAGAGCGAATTATCTATTGTAATGTTTTTGTGACTAAATTATACTCTATTATGTGTGTTATGTATTTCCAAATATTGTGCAAAAAATTACATTTTATCGAGTTCTATTCCAGGTTGTCAACTATATTGTAATTCCAGATATACTTCTACTGTACTTTTTATTATCCTTTTTTGCTTAAACTTAAAAAAAAATGAGTTAAATTAGAGGAAAAACGCGCACCATATTTCAGCTGTTCTTGAACCACAAAATCATGTTATCAAGTTTAAGATTATTTAATTTTCACGATAATAACTTTAAATTATGCAGCTTGGATTTAATTTTCACTATAATAACTTTAAATTATGCACCTTAGATTTAATTTTCACGATAATAACTTTAAATTATGCAGCTTAGATTTAATTTTCACGATAATAACTTTAAATTATGCAGCTTATTGAAGTTGTTCAAAATTGGAATAATGTTACGGTTTAATCGACACCAAAAAATTATTACTTGCTATTTAATAAATAAATTTGCTAAAATAAATTTTGGAATTTAAATACATTAATTTTAATAATAAAATTTTTAAAATTCACTTCTAAAAGTGTAGAAAGTTTGGACGATATTGTGGTTCAATACACTTTAAAATTTGTAGCACTTTGCAAAAAAAATGGAATTAAAGAAATGTACAATGTTTTTTAATAGATTCGTGGTTTCTATTTTTTTTGCGAGTTTGAGAGCTTATTTATTTGCTTAATAATTAAAATTTAAGTAACTTTTTCCAATTACTTGAAAAAATTAGCAATTTCCATTTTTTTAAATCTTTATCATGTGTTTTACTTATTGAAAATCAAGTAATCAAAGTTTTTAATATATTGCAGTAACAGTATTAATAGGAAAGTATCACTACGGGTTGGCCTACCTTTACTTTGAATGAAGAAAGCAATTATATTTGGTATTAAAATTATCCTTTATGATACTTATTGGAAAGGTTTAACGTGGAAAAAACGATAAATAGAAAAAAACTAACCTTTCCCTTAAATTGTATAAGAAATTTTCTGAAAGGAATTTTTAATTTTTACATCGTAAATTTTCAGATAATTGTGTATATTTTGTAATAGAAAGTATATATTTGTAAGATATTCAGTAGTGGATATAGTAACTGTACATTTAGTTTAAGCGAGTAATATAATTATGTAAATGTAATTAATTTTCTCCTGGATAATATAAAATGGAAAATAAATAATGAAAGTCTATTTACTGCAAAATTAAAAATTTTTTGTTTAGAATTATTTTTACAAATACCACATCAATTTGAAGTGCAAAAACAAAAGAAATATTGAAATTTTCTTAGAAAAATTTAATGAAAAAAATCGTTTATAAAAATCGTTTGTTTCATGATTTCACGATTTTTGTTTTTTTCATACTAATATAAATGCATTAAGTGTTTTTGGATTTCATACATTGATATGATGCTATTAGCTCATAAAAATAAATGTATAAATTTCATTTATTATTCATTGTAAAATTTTTAACCTGTTGGAATTTTTGTTTACATTGCGCTGTGTTTCTAGTATAAATGTTTTTCTTCCTTTTTTAATACGACTACGAATTATGGAGATATTTCTTTTTTAGAAAATTTAATTAAGTATGGATATTGAGCAAAACGTAAATTATGGACAATGCGTTTTGTGTTTGTTTTTGTTTTATTTTTAATAAACGCTTTTTGTATATTTTTGTTTTGTTTTATTCAACACTGCATTGCATTAAGTATATGTAAATGTAATGTACAATGTAAACTAACAGAGTTCTTCCTAGATATAATTATTAATATTAAAATTACATTAAGATGAATTATTTTAAGGAAAAAAAAAGGAAAATTATCAACAATAAAATAAACAACTTTTTGCTTAAAAGTTAGTAAGTCTGATGAAACTGAAAATTCACATTGCATTATTGTATAATTTTGATCAATATGTAGTATCATATAAAATCAAATTTAAATTTATGCTTACAAATTAGAATAAACCATGAATTAAAATTTATCGCACAAACTATAGGTGGTAGTTTTAAACTAAAAAGTTGAAAACAAGGTTTTCATTAATATTAAATAGCAGAATTTCATTATTGCATTTAGTTAAGCTTCTTTAATAATTATTGTTTCAGAATTCATCACTTGCAAAGAAGATAACCGACCCCCCCCCCCACCAATCAAACTGACTTTTCATTTACAGATTTATGGCCTTTTTCACTTGCGTAATAGTAATGTTTTTTTTTTCTTTGAATATAAGAAATAAATTGTATTTAGATTAGAAAATATTTTAAAGCAAAAGTTAGTAATTTTCATGAAGTTTTAAAGCTAAATTCATCATGAATATTCCCAGCCGACGGTAAAATATCTTTAAATTAAAGCATAACTTTTCAGCCAATAATTTTTCTTACCGATCTAACACTTGGATTTAGGCGAAAATTATTTCAATAGACTGAAACATTTCCTAGTTCCTGTCCAAAAAACCTCAAATACTGTTTACAAAATGTTGAGTTTGATTGGGTATAGTGCGGCTTTGAGGAGAACAGACTAAATCTGGGGCTGTCTGCTGCTATGGTAACAAGCGACATTTCTAATGCGGGTGAAATGGAGGAAAGAAGGTGTTGATTGGTTTACTCACGACTACCTACGCTAAGATTAAGACAAATCTATTCACCCCACACCCTTATTCGTAGTGACCTTTCCTCGTAACCATAGTACCCGCCACGATGCGAGACGGGTGTTTGGAGGAGTTCTCCTGAAAGCCGCACTATACTTTCCTTATTCGAAACATAAGATAACGGAGAAAGTTTACTAGTTAAAGTGTTTATTTTGAAAAACTAAAGAAAAAGAATTTAACCGGAATAAGTGATGATTTTTATACCTAATTCTTGTATGCTTCATAGCTATATTTATGCATGATTTGTGAATGATAGTAGTATTTGACATTTCAATAATTTAATTAGGATTCTAACACCTTTCTCAACCTAACGGAAACCCTTGTAATGATCACCCCATTGAGAAAAAAAGGGTCCAATTTTATCAAATTAATTTAAATTCTGTGTACTAAAATGTATGGGCCTTTTTAAAAATAAATTTCAAATAAAAGAAAAGTATTTTGAAAAAGAAAATTGTTTTTATTTTTAGATGATAATACGACATTTTTATAATAAAACATAACATAATATGATCCATTTTTTAATGTATTCCAGTTTCGAAAAATTGAAAACAAAAATGCTTAATCTTCTAAGTGATATAAGTATTACTGAAAATAAATGGTTTAAGTGTTTCTAAAAAATATGAGACTTTATTTTTGGGATTACCCTTTTATATTATATTAATAATATATAT